GCAAGCGTGGGCACTTCATGAAAGCCGCTTCCCCACAAATACCATCTCTATCAATGCACCTACTAAGTCCACGTCTTATTTTACTCCCTGTCAATTTGCCCCGGACATCCAGTGCCAGCCACCTCCCAGTCAGTCATCAGCCCGGAAAGCTCCCTTCCGACCTCCTGGTGTCAACAGTTTTAATAATGTCGCTGCCAGATGTCCTTCCCCCATCTCACCTTTGAGTCACGTAAAGCCCCATGGATTTGTTCTATAATCTTTTTTAACAAATCTCCCACAAAAGTATCAGCCTCAAGCTCCTCCTTACCTCTGCTGTCCAATCTCCACCAGCAGCCAGAAGCCAAGAGTGGAGGGGGTCTTGTGTATCAAAAGGAGGGCTACCCGTCCAAATACCTCTTAGGCCCAGCGACACCCTTCATCGGAAAGTGCCCCATGTCTCTGTGAGGTGGTATCTGGCTTTTTTTGCCACAACTTGTCATAGACCTGGCCTGGCTGGTGTTGAGGTTCTGTGCCTCACAGCATTTGGAGAAAGATCAGCAGTTAGCCCTAGAAATAAATGCTGTATCCTTTGTTTGGTCTAGCTGTGAGCAGCATTTCCAGGTGGAAGGGATCCACTTTGCATCTGAGGTACACACGAGCCATTTTTTAACCTATGTGGCTGCTGTCAGATTTAGTTTTGTGGGCACCAGAAGCTCATCCAAGGTGAGTGCCAGAGTCCCCTTAGGATGCTCCTGTTCAAGACTTCCAGTCTGAAAATATCAGCAATGAATAAAAGAACAAAAGAGGAAGCTTTCAGTCATTATGGAGGTTTGAAGTGAGGAGTGTTTTCATTGCATGATTATTCTTCACTTTTGTCTGACACAACCAGCACATGAGAATCCAGGCTCTCAAAGGTTTGCCGCATGTGCAAACCAAAGGATGAGTGTGGTGAAAATGCACAGTCAAAAAGAGTTTTGCAACAAAAGCATTCCGAGGAGGGGAAAGTGTAGTCCGGGAGTGGAAACCTTGGAGACAGAGACTCCTTTTGGAATGGCAAAAAGAGTTCTAACATTTCTCTGACGAAATGGAGTTCCTCAAAATAGAATAAAGGGAAAAAAATGGTTCAAAAGCACTTATTGTTCACAGCCTAAGGAAAGTAAGAAATCTGATTTGGTTTTGGGGTTGTTTTTTTTTAAACTATTACAGTGTCATTTGTTTTCCCTAAGTAATGTATGCTCATTTTCCAGTTCACGAAATTCACAGTGATCCACAAAACATGTCTAATAATGCTGCATTCCCTTCTTCTGGCTGGAAAGTTATCTGGGGTGGCGTTTGAAGAATTACACACTCCACGTCCACGTTCCAAGGGAGGATCAGCAGGGCTTCTGCAGATTCATTATAAATGCCAAAACCAGGTAGGATGTAACTAGAGTTCCAGTGCATTTCCAGGCTTTCCCTCTCTCTTTAGTATGGTTGCCCCTAACACCCAGCTTAAACTTACCTTTCTGCAATTCAAGACATTATATGTCCTATTTTCCATACATATAAATATACAGATTCTTCATTAGTTAAGTCTTCAAAGTGTTCCTCTCCTTGGCCTTCTCCTATCCAGACTAACTACAAATCCGTCTATTTAAGCCAAGTTTTCTAGATTTCCCCTGTTCTTGCTTTCATCTAGGTTCTCTGTAATTAATCCACATCTTTCTTGTAGGACAGTGCCCAGAACTGCACAGGGATTCCTGTGGAGGCCTTTCCAATGGCCGTCAGAACGGAAAGATGACGTGAACCAGCAACTCCACCACCTTACTCCATTCAGACGTGTGCTGTGAAAACACCCCTGGTGAGGTATCATGCCTTCATGAAAGCTGAGAAACGAGTCACAACGAACTCGTTTGGTCCCCATGGGTTGCCTGATCTAGTTGAGAGGCGTCCCTGCCGACATCAGGGAGGTTGGATTAAATGATTTCTAAGGTCCCTTCCAGCCTAGGCCGTTCTATGATTAACTCCCAGAAGAGACTGCTAAAAGACTGAAGTTAAAAGCCACATGGCATTCTGTGCGAATTAACAACGTAGACAGAGCAGGTAGGTCTAGTGCCTCCTAGGGACAGCAGACTAGCTACTGATTACACTAACGGCTTCACGGATGAGAAACTTCAACAAACTCAGTGCGTTATATATTGTGTACAGCCAACACCTTCTGCACTTTACAAAGCCAGAGCACAAAATGGACTCAAATAGCAGTGGCAGGTCACTTAGCAAAGGTAATAAGAGAATCTTACTAGCTTGGTCAGTGGGGTAAAAAAGTAGCATTAAAAGCAGGTGTAAAATCCTAGCTCTGCAGCTGGAATCACAGGTGGTGTAAAAACGCTGTAGCTAAGTTAACTAACAGCAGAGCACCTGTAGTAATGGACTAGTAACAGAACTACTTAAGACAGGGGTGGCACTGTATGGCGAGTATGAAGATGGGGAGACATCTCAATGCAGCCTTTGGACACAGCGTATGCCCTGAGCACAGCACGGTGTTGACAACTTTGGCTTGGCTGCGTGATCAAAGCATGCACAAGATGATCCACCACACAGACAGCGGTGCCCCTGGGTTTGCTGATCCCTTAGGCTGCACCCTGTTCCACCAATGTACAAGGCAGCCCACAGGAACTCCAGTACTGACCTGTACAAATGCATGAGACTGCACGGATATTGCCCTTGCTGCTGATCTGGGGTTTTTAGGCTCTGGAGCAGGCACCTACGACTGAGGAAAAGGTGAAGCATGCTGCAGAAGGAGCAGACAACAAGCTCAAGAAGCATCTCGAGTCTCTTGAACATCTGCTGTGCGCTTTCCCCTAATACCAGAAGTGTAGAGTCCCAAAGCCTGCACCATCAGTTCAAAGGTGCAAGTTGCCTACCAGCCAGCAGCACATTGCCAAGCCTCAGACAATACAAACACAGCAGGTGCATTTCACACACAACCAAACTTCAAAACAGTTCCAGCAAAATGCCCTGTGCCATTACAATTATCAGTTAAAAAGCCACCAAACTTTGCAAGATTGCAGATGAAGGTGGCATATGCTCCCAGACACATAGGAAAACTCTCTCTTCAGGGGCTCAGGAAAGTGAATGTCTCATCCTAATGCATGCACCATTCAGACTTTCAGGCTCAGAAAGCAGTCCTCCACAGAAGGAAACTGCTTCAAAGTTTATCCTGCAGCAGTTCACTATCACACCAGTTCCTCCACCTGTATTCTTCACCTCCTCTGCGGTGGCAGCTAAGAAGAAACTGACTAATGTGGAAAACTACTGGCATTAATGTAATTTGTCTCACAACAAGGGTCTTACCTCAGTATACTTAATTATGAACAGGACCATGTTAATTAGCGATTTCTATTACATTAGCAGTTTGTTAGTGTATCACTGGCTGCTCTGTTCATGAGGGCTCTGCTATACTGGGCACATTCCAAGCAGGTAGGCTCCAGACTTCCAAGAGGATTCCTTGCTGCTCAGCCCATGCCTTCTCCAGAAGTACACCAGAACTAGATTAAGAGGGTGCAAATGTAAGACTTACATGATTAAACAGCTCATTTACCTGGAATATTTGCATGCATTTTCTTCTTCCCACTCTGTTCCATATGCACTGCACCTTTCAAGTCATTGTTCTTTGTCCAGTCTCCTTTGCCCGTGCAGATAAAGCATGGGCAGAATTTCTTAACTCAGCTTGTGTATTACCAGAAAGATTACATCGCTGTGCACAGCAGAAAACTACCTCTTGCTGTCATTCACTGTGTAAAGCTTTAATACTGCCTTTAACCATCTTAAGAGACTATGGCAAGCAAACTCAAAATCTGGGCAGCAGACTATGAAATACAATCATGTCTACATCTCCTCTAACTATTTCTAAGGCCAAAAATAACGTAGGCTCTGAAGAAGGCCAAAAATACTGTGTTCAGAGGACTTCAAGCACTGATCCATGTGCTTACAGGACTTCACTTGCTCTTGTCTCCAGGGAGCAGCGGTCCTTGAAAGTTTCTCAGAAGCACACATGAAAATGAGCTATGGAAAAAGAGGGAAAGGAATAACTTGAGTTTAGCAACAGGTCAGGGGGTTGAGGTGAGGAAGGGAGCAGAGAATGCAGAAAAGTGGCATCACTGCAAGCAGACTGGTGAGCACACAAAATGCACACCTTTCTGTGAAAGTTGAGCCCCCGACATTTAGTCTCCCAAACAAGGCACTCCCAATTATTCAACTGTTGTGAAGTTAAGGAAGGTAAAAACTCCACTAGTAAGACACATCTCTGATACTAAATTCAGAAATACTGAGGACTGCTTCCATGCTTCTCAAGTAATAAAAACGCTAGCTAAAAGGAGTATCCAGTAATGGCTCTGCATAATAGCTCTAACATAAAATGGGAAAGATCGCAAGAACAATAGTCAACCTTATTTTATTGATAAATAACTTTTTTAACATTTTCACTCAAACATTCTAGCATTACAATGGTAAACAAAGTGCAAATTTTCAGAAAGTCAACTGAAGTCAAACTTGTTAAACTCTTTTCACGTAACACAGATTTTTCAGTTTTATCCCCTTTAAGTATTCAAGGCCATGTAGTAGTTATATTTCTCTCCAAAGCCTGTTACTTAATTTATTGCTAAAGAATCTGAACTGCTACATTTCAAAAGTGGTGATTAATCATCCTTTGAAAATTCCACAAGGTTCTGAGACACAAAATCATGAATCCATATATCAGTTTCTGGAAGAGATGTATCCACAAGAAAAGCCACTATTTTTCGATCCCAATAGTTAGTGCTTTCATTAACTGCCTGTATCTGTGCCACCAAGGGTTTCTTCTCTACAAGGTTCCGAAACACTATTGATGCCTCCTCTGACCACTGCTGATTTTTCACTCCTAGGACAAATGTAAAACAAAAGAGAGGGTCATTTATCAACTAGACGAACCTGAATGATTAAGTTTATAAAGCAGTGGGGGGAGTTAAAATACTTGAGAGAAGAGATACTCAAGTGCAACTGAATGCAGTTACCTCTACAAAAGAAACACAGCTTACTCATCTCCCACACAAACATGCATAAGTATTAGAGATTAGAACATTTATATTTTCTTGGAGTATAAAGAAATGGACGAATTTGCAGAAGTGAAAAGCAAATGCACTGACTCACTAAGTAATTCAAGCTGCCATGCATGATCAAGGCATATTGGGAAACATGACAAAAAGGAAATGAAAGATCCTTTTAAAACAAACTACTTTTTGTCTTCTGCCTGAGGGTGCTGAAATTATTTGTCCTGTTGGCCTTGGTTTAGATTAATTTTCTTCATCTCAAAGCAGCATCAGCTCCCAAAACACGTGCCAGACCTTCAAATCCCAAACTCTATCTGCAGAGAGCAGAAATTAAGAAAAATGCTGCCGAAATGCCTCTCAACTGCGATTTTTTTTGAAAGCAGCATCCGACAAAGCAAAGTCTGCCCAAACCCAAACCAAACAGGTTTTTGAATGGCTGCTTTCCACCGACAAAGAAGTGTCTCCTGCAAAGTTGGGATTCAGACTCCCCAGACCGTCACTGAGATACAGCATCTAGACACAAAGGGCTCAAATATCATGCACAAACAACCAAACAGCAACTCTTATGGATAAAAGAAGCAAACCAGCAAAGTGACAACAACTTGCTTTTACTACTAGCAGCAGCTTAGTGCTGACAGGACAGACAACACAGGAACACAAGCTCCTTGCAGGTTACAGAGGGATGAGAAGTCGACAGTTAAGAAAGAGTAGTTAATGCTAGGAAAGGCTGGTGGGGAAGCACATGGGATTTTACAAGGAAATAGACCAGAGACTGAGAGGTGGCAGACACGAAAAAAGACAGAAAAAAGGTGCAAGAAGAGCAAGACAATAGTTACCAGTCTTCCGGGCTCACCTGGCCTGCTTTGACAATAGGAAGCAGCTCAGAGGCCAACTTAACTAGCTACTTGGGATTCCGTGAAGCAGGAAAATTGGACAACTTGCCGGCTTGCTCAGCGGGATCCTGTACTACCCCAGTGGACAAGACACAGCTAGAAATAAGCTTTATTTCAGCACTGTACTCCTAGGACCCCAGCCTGTCGGTAACGCCTGCATCATCACTAGTTGAAAGCCACCCCCAAGGTCACACTGAGGCTATGCAGGAAAGCAGATCCACAGGAGGCAGCCCAGGATCACAGCACCAACTCTGCGGCCTGTCACTGCAGACAAGCTTACTCCATAACTGAAGTCTAGACTAGAGCTGGCCAAGCAGCGGCAAAAAGCAGCAACTGAGTAAGAAGTGACACACATCTGAAAGCAATGCAGAAAGGAAAGGAAAAAGAAAGAAAAGAGAGCAAGGAGAGATCAAGTTGTTGTGGGTTTTTTTGTTTTGTTTTGGTTTTGTTTGGTTTTTTTTGTTTTGTTTTTTTTTAAAAAATTTGATCAGATGTATGCACACTCTCTATGCCCCATATTCTCAAGGAAACTAATCTCACTTAAGTATGCTGAAAGACCCCACCCGTCTTGTGAGATTTTTTTTTTGTTTAAGAACACGGACATATTTCAGGCAACTTTGGATTCCAAATATGCATTTGAAAACAGTAAATCACAACAGGAACAAGATATATAAGAAAAACTTCCCCAGAAACTCAGCATCTAGTTCCTCACTTTATGTAGATTAGGATATCAGAACATAAGTTCTTATCAACAGATAAATTATAACTTTGACACTTAGGAATGGGTTATGTTTTATGGATCCAAAGCCCATTTAGTTTTGATTGCCCACTGTCCTTGCATATTAAACACTCCAGCATTAAGTTATAAATATTTATGACAATGAAAAGCAGCTGCTGGAAAAGTTTAAGCAATCTTCAGTTTTATACATGGTAACTAAAAGTGCTGCATTAAATGAAACAGAACCATCACCACCTAAGTCAAGAAGCAGAGATACTTTGATAACAAACGTGCATGCATTAAGCATGTTTTTGCAAGCAGGCGCATACTTTAGCAAAAAACAACTACATCATTAACCTTTAGTTTCGCCCACTTTACATTTCTGTTCATTTGGTATCCCCACTGATGTAAGACTTCAAAAAAAAAAGTTGTACATGCTTACTACCTACCTGCAAGTTGAGCTGTTATAGCTTGGAAAGGTAGTTTTCTAAATGTATCCGTGAGTGGCTGTACTTTATCTATGCTGATTAATTCATGTTTACCATAGTCCAGCTCATATACAGATAAAAGCCCATTTTTAAGAATTCCTTTTATTACGACCCTGTACCACCTAAAAAAGCGGGAGAACAAGAATAGAGGATTCGAATTCATATTCACACACTGTCAAGGCTCCAGAAAAATAATACATGACCAAAAGATCTTAACCAGTATGTCTCAGGCTTCCCAGATCTGGTACTACCTGAACAGAAGGCTCCTCTTCCAACTACAACGTGGAAGCATGAAGAGATTGCAACCCCATTTACTCCCTTAATCTCTCAGATATCACTGGACATCTGCCACCTTGTTAACAATGCAGACAAAGCAGAGCTGGGCTTGCATAGCTTAACAGAGCTAAACTTGCCTTCAAAGACTTTGGTTTTAAGTATCTACTTACTGATTTCCAATTTTAGCAGCATACAGCTTGTTTTTTTCAATGCTCCCAGGTTTCTCTTCTGCCCTGCTGTAGTACAAAATCATTTCTTCCATTAGGGCTTCCAGATTATGTAGCTCTTTCCAAGGCTGGACAATAAAGTGACCTGGATGGCAGGCCACCGAGACATAGACATCCATGAGCTCGCCAGTCTTTGACAAGGGCAGAGGTGGAGGCATATCCGTGGCAGACACTGCACTGCCGGGTTCTTTGGCTGAATCAGAGAAATTCTTCTCTAGCCTCCCACTAGTTAACTGCAGAGGTGAAACAGCATCACTTGCCACTTTCGTGGAGCTAGTCCCACTAGGTGTAACACTCAAGAAAACATCTTTCTGATGCTTCCACAAGTCTGCATTTTTGATCTGTCGATTGACACTACGTTCCATATCTGGGAAATTCTCTGGAACAAACAAGTAAATGTGTGCAATTCCCTTTGAACCATCCTGTTTAACCACCTTGGGAAAAAAAATACAGTTTAACTTCCAGTTAATAACTATTAAATGTACATCTGGTTTTGTACAGAAAACTACAGCCTCTAAAAATGCCAATATTTCATTGCTTTCTATATGCACAGAAGTATTTTCAAGGTGTTCTCAAATATGTTAACGAAGTTGCTGGATAGTAAGCAACTCATAACAGCTAAAAAGAGCATTTGCAGCTATTTCACAGTTGTAAAGCAAACACAAAGATTGAATTGAGTTCTGTCCTGTCCAAGAGAGTCAATCTCAGTACTGCGTGTACAATTGTAGTTTACAGGAGAACACCATACAGCATCCATAAAACTAAACAACTAAGTAATTCTACTAAATATTAACAATTAATCCTTCAAAATTATCTTCCTGTCATTAGGGGAGATGAAGCCTATTAAATTAAGGATGGGGAAAAAACAGACAAAAGAAGTTTCCATGCTGCTATCTTGCATAATTTTAAGTACTGACATAAAAATATTTCCTATTTAACATCAGATATACTAGCATTAGAATTTTAATTTGATAAAGCATGTAACATTTCTTTACAGATTACTCTGTTGATTTTCCTAGGCAAGAATAAAAACTTACCATAATCAAAGCACATATCTGTCGTCTATTATTTAATCAAGCAAAAACTAGTACCAGACTCAAACTCACTTGGAAGAGGATGTTTAGAAAAGCCAGATTCAACAGTCCTAAGTCCAAGACTAGAGGAGCTGTTTTAACTATGTGGTCTCCAGCATTAAAGTAAGCAAAACTGTAAAGTGCTGTGACAGTAGAAAAGGTCAAGTGCTGTGACAGTATCAGGAATCAGATTTTAAAAAGGAAATTAACTTTGTTTAGTCTGTAGCTAGTAACAGATTTCCTTTAAAAGGGTGTTTTCAGTTAATTAAACTGGATAGGACACACTGCAAGCAAAGCTAATTTTATCTCACAGACAACAGAAATTCTAAGCGTACGACAGCATACACTAAATCACACTGGATTAGAAAAAGCAAACAAAAAACAAAGCTGCTTTCCAAGATCAGAGGGAGAAAGAGCCATGCTCACAGAAAAATACTTTAGGATTAAGTCAACAGTTATTCTATATACATAGATGTATTTTATGTGGTGAAACATTAATAACTGTTTCTTTCTTATCAGCTGGTAAAATAAATAGCTGTGTATTTGGACTGGGACCGCAAAATGTGAAAGACTAATGCGGTAGTTGCTAAATTCTTGATGGGAAAAGAGAAGCTTGTAACTTAGGCTTAAACTAGAAAGTTTTATGCCAAATGTCCTAGGAAAAGGATTTTGTACAGAATTTATGTCCAACAGCTGGCTACAAACTTTTAAACTTCTATTAAAAAAAAAATCAATGTGATGTGTGGTTAAGCTTCTAGAGTTGATCTTTCAATGGACTTCACAGACACACCTACAGATTTTAAGTCACACAGACATTTTATCTATTTACCTTCATGCTAAATTCAGGACAATTCATTACAGTGTCTCTCAGCCACTGCACAGCATCTGGAGTCCACATACCAGTGTTAGGAGGAAGATCTGCCAGGCAGCATTTTATAGCCTAAGAACAGAATTAATTGTACAAGGTATATTTTAGTAATATGGAAACTATTTCACAAGTTCCTATTCACAGAAACTTCATTTATGTTGACAGATGCAACAATCTAAGACAGAGAGAAGAAAATACAAAACCAAAACTATTACACACAGACAACATCCTGCTGGTACACAGGACTACATTAGGATTTATTTCAGGCAAAGACACACAACGAAACACACTCCAATGCTGAATGCTATTAAACAAAACAAAATTTCGTTACATCAGCCTTGAGGTAACACACTACAAACACTGCCGTAGGTTATCTTTAACATGTCTTTATACCTGAGGAGGTATTGCAATTACTTCTTTCAGAAATTGTGGTGGGATTTCTCTGAGCTCTGACACCTTTACAGTTGCAACTGTTCCAGTATCCATGAACTGCACATCAAGTGCCCGTCTAGTGTGAATAATTTGTATCTGAAAGACGAAAGTAAGAGCACCATTTTGAGGTTAAAAAGATAACAGTCACACACACACACACACTAACAAGTTCTATGAAATCTAAGGATTCAGATTTAGCTGAACAAAACAAAGAGCGATTTTATGTGGGAAAATTGTAGCTGTTCTTTGAGTACTTCTTACCTCTACACGTGCCCATTTTCCTTTCGAAGGAAACAAGCAGATTTTGCCACAGAAAGGTAGTAATATATTAAACTCAGATGCCTGCTGCAAATACAAAAACAGAAGTTGAAAAAGCATGGAGCTATTACTGCCTGGCTCTCAACTATTTCAAAAGCCACACATGGAAGTGAAAACTCTATTTCACATATAAAGTCCCTTTCCAGTCTCAGAAGCATTCCTTACTGCAATGTTTTAAGCTACTCCAATCGATAAAGCTTGAATTCCAAGCTGTATAACTTAGAGAAACTGAGAGAATATAAAGAGGCAAGGAAAAAAGCCAGATTTGGAAAACTAGCCTATGAAATCACTCACCACTACTTTAATTTGCTGAAAAGCAAGAGCAGTTTAGAGCTGTACAGACAACTGAAACAGCTCCTACCTTATGTTCTAGAGCACATAAATTGTTGATATATTTAATAAATCAAATTTAATACTGACTCATATGAAGTCTCATGGAGGTCAATTCATGATATCCTAAATAACATAACAAGACAATGGCTACACTAAAAAAGATTGAAGAAAGTCCATTTTAAGATGCATCAGCACCTTGGTTTTGTTAAATTCTCGGGCGAAATAAAAACCTTGGAGATAAAATGCAAAGTCAAGATTGTTTCCTTTATCCCCATATACAGTTTGATATTAAAAGATTCTGAATGTCAAGGACCCACTCTGAGAGCAACAAGAACTTACACTCTGTCCAGAAAAATCTGAATTTTTGAAATACTCATCTGCTTGTTTTTATGGTGCTAAACCTTTCAAGGTCCTATATGCTTTCCTTCAGCATATAGCTTGCTTGAAACTAAATCTTGATAACTGAGACACGTTCCATATAAAGCATTTATGAATGGTGCATTCTACAACAGGTCTAAAGCTCAACTTCTACATATAAAATCACTTTGATAAAGTAGTTTCACAAGTAGCAGTTCTAACAGGACATTCAAGAATCTGCTTGTCATGGTTTGATTCTCTACGGCTCAGCTGAATGTTGTACAAATTAGATTCTCTAAAGATTTCTTATCGTTTGCATAAACTCTCTTTAGTAAAAGTTGTTGTATACGTCTGTAAATGGATGGTGGGATATCAGACTTCTTTGCCACATGCCTAAAGCAATTTAAGATTTTGAAAACACCAGTTCCAGTTGAAATTTGCTAAAACACTCAAAAGCTACGGGTACAAAGACAAGATATGCAGCAGATCAGATCAAAGCCACCAGTTCTCAAGGAAGCTAGGCTAAAAAGAACAGACCTTGGATACATTGCTTTTATTGTCACCTTGCATGGGGTGTTGTGGGCCAGGCTGGTTATGCACCTCACCTCCTTCATGTAAGTAAAATTTCAAGAAAAAAACTCTGGCGGTATCTCCACAGAGATATCTGATGCAGTCCCCACTGAAAACTTCCCATTACAAGCCACACTGTTACTGTTGTAACTATTCAAGGGAAGTTATAAGTAATTACTGAAAACAAAGGGACAGCTTGTGAACAAGAAAGCATGAAAAGACACTACTCCTGCTGCACAATGCACCCCAGAAAAAAATACGAAGAGAATTTATAGCCTTTTTGAATAGTCTATGGCTACCTCGAACTTTTATGCAATGAAAATGACTGGTACACTCCGAAGAAAGGCTACACGACTTCACCACTTCTCTCACCATCAAACGTACCTTGTAATGGAAGTAGTCTTCTATCTTCTGCAAGATTTCAGAAAGTCTGGACAAGCCTTTACATGGCACTTGGCAATACAGGCTTCCATCAGAGAAAACACTGGTTACTCTGACATTTGTATACAGTGAGTCTACCTGCAATGGTTAAGATTTTGACAAGAAAGGGGGAACCCCCCCAAAAAAAGCTTAGCATATTTCTGAGTACTGTTTTTCATCCATTCAAGACCTTTGCAGTAAAAGATTTTTAATAAATTAAGAAGGAAACAGGAAAATGGTACCTGCAGGTGCAGTTCAAGGGACTTGTCATACAACACCTTCCGACAAGTAGCATTGATGTTGATATCATCTTCTCCAGAAGTATCATAGAGAACAAGAAGAGGAATATCACTCTTTTCAAGTATTTCCACAGCAAGTATCTTGGAGCATGTCTGCGATTCCACAGTCTTTACTAGGGCAGGATCATCACAGAAGACTTCCAGTCCTGTGAGACACACCATACTTTTTATGTACCATTGAATTCAAAGGGAAAAATAACCAGTCTGTGCTTGCAGTAGGAACCTTTCCAAGAATCAGGATGCAGCAGTAAAGTTGTACTGCACCCCTACTCACATTCTGCTTAATTTCCACCTTTTTAACTCAGAAAGCCATCTTAGGGAAAAGGTATACTCTTCAGAAAAAGTGGAGGCAAATGTGTAGAGAAAAATGGACCACATGCAAGTATTAAATAAACAAAAGCTCATTCATGGCAATTTTAAATATTGAAATAAAGTATTTTTTAGAAGCTAGAAGTGCCTACCAGTTTTAGGAAGGTAAACAATTTCCAGCAGTGTCTAGGAAGCCTGCAAGCATGCAAGTACTGAAATACCTGAAAAATAACTAAGTAGGATCATATTTAGGAATATTACCTGACCTGGCCACAACAGACGTGCCTCATTTGTGGGAAAAGAAATTGTGCTAGTACACTGCTTCACACAATAGCAAGCATCTCCTTTTAGTTCTTTAGGCTCACATGTATTACAGTGGCAAAGACATTCAAGCTATGTACAGAAACAACTATGCTCCATTACAGAGATGCCGGATATCAAGGTTTTTCTAATATCAAAGTTTCTTTATAAAACTCTCCTTCACATCCTTCCTTCTTGCTTTTTCCTTCTTTCCATGCCTACCTGCGTCTGCTTAGACTAGCTGTCTTGGAAAAAATCTAACACAAACAGAGTTACTACAAACAAGGATCAAAATTCCCAGAATGAGACACTTCAGTCCATAAATCATGCAACACCAAGCTGTACAGTCAACACTGGTGTTCTCTTACCTGCCAGTTTACATTTTGCAGCTTGAAATGGAAGCAAATAGAACTGTTTCTGTAGTCTGTATACACTGTTGCTTTCAACAAACTCACTGAAGCCGTGATCAACATAGCATACCTGATAATGGAAAAGCGAATAAAAGTGTAAGATCATAAATATAATTATGTTTTCTTGAGTCTGGAGAAAAATATTCAGTTACCATATTCTTTGTGCAGCCACAGCCAATTCACTTTTCACTAATTTAATACTATATAATGCCATTAATGTCATGTTTATTTCACTGTTTGAATATTCAGAGTTTTCAGGGAAAGCCTTCTCAAGATCTCTTTAAAACCACTCTCCCCGACTGTTCCATATAATCCCAGCTCTTAATAGGAACAGTGCTGGAAAGTCCAAGCACATATTACTTCAAACCACATGACGAAAGGTAATTAAGCAGCATTTTTTATCTGTAAAATTTTGAAAGTCAAATACCACTTAAGAGACACTCTATGATCTGGCTTTTTTTACAGCATTAAGAGATGTTGATTTATGCTCACAGTAACTTTAATAGAAATACTACAGTCAATGCAGGAAACCAGTAGGGAAACTGCTGACTGGTAGCAAATAATTGGAGCTAAAGCAAGACAAAAAACCTTTGACAGGACTTTTTACAACTTTTTTCTAAAGTCTATCATACAAAATGTCTGTACACCTAACATCAAAAAGTGAGGCTAAACACTGTGTCAGATGATGATCAGCAAGTGCTGCAATAAAGCAGTAGCCTTCTTTCGGCTGATAGCTTGTGGTAGAGAAAAATTAGAGACAAGCTTGCTACCAATGTCCTTGCCACTTCTCTAAACTCAGCATCTTTCATAGAATCCAAGTTCTGACAGCCCCCTCCAGGCTCCAGCAGAAGGATATCACTAATTTCCAGAAAAATCTCAATTCTAACACATGTACTGTTTAGATACTTATAAAACAGTCCAACTTTAGAAATACGTTAAGCAGATCTGGGTAAAAAGTTACCTAACTGGGGGAAGTAACAAAAAATAAAAAAGCATCAGTAATGTTTGACTAGGCAAAAAGTCATTGAGAAGCTCTTAAATTTTTTTACATTTCTACCATATGTCATAGTTTCATTGCAGATAGCAAGAAGAGTCTGCTTGGCCCAGGAAAAGTCTAACAGAGGAGTTAAATAATCTCAAAGGGGTTTAAGTAAAATGTGCACTACGTATAACTCTCAGAATACCAGATCTGTCTGGAAGGGTACACAAATACATCCTTCTCATTGCCTTGCTGTTTAGTGCGTGTACTAGATACTTCAGAACGACTTCAGACAACACCTAAAAGCAAGTGAATTTTGTTCTTCTCTTTCTCTTGCTCTCTCCCACTCAAAACTACGCCCATTCCTTGTAAGACTGTCAAAGGTACGTTTTCAGTACAAAAGTGCTACAGGGCCCCAAATCAAAAGCTCAAACTATTTATGGAAATAAAAACAAAAGAGTACTTTATTTTGGCAATCACGTAACTTAAAAAAAGCCTTAACTTCTCACATAACTTAAAACATTAGTACTTCAGGTCAAGGAAAGAGTGAATGCTAGTAAAGCATATTTAGGAATTGACTGTGTAACTGAAGAACAGGACTGTTTCAAGCCTTTCTCCACCTGCCCAAAGTAGTAGTTGCTTGCCTTTATTCTGTTGTCTTCTAGAGAAATTATACGAGCACGCAACCAGGCATCTTCTTCAGCGTGTACTGCAACAAGTTGCCCAACGCTCAGAGACTGAGCTAATGACACTGCACTGTTTTGAGTGTAGTACGCTTTCATGTCATCTTCCATTTGTTCCTGGGCAGAAGAATAATCTTTGCCCACATACCTACAGTGTTTTACAAATAAAAACACCCCAAAAAAACACAACAGTTAGGATGCAACTTCAAAAAGCTGAAAAAAACCTAAGAATATATATATGCTTATATGAATATAAGTAAATTATGAACATATACATTTTCTAGGCACATCAGTATCCAAACTATTTGCCCATTAACAGGGCTATAGAAAAGTCACTGACACAAAATTTAGTAATTTTATTGACAGCTAAATGTGTTCCAGCAGTGTATAATCTAACATGCTCAACTAGATTTTTAGTAGGAGCTTGTAATTGGTTATTATAACCATGTAGAGCAACATGACCAAAAGAGCAGAGTAGCTTCTGAGATCAAATATAAAAGGAAACTAGTATGTCATCTCTGAACTTGCTTTGTCATTAACAAACATCAGCTTAATCGGTTTCTCCTAAAGGCTGATAAAAAACAAGGCATCTAATAACTTTATAAATTAGCTGTCAAACCACGTACTGTTTACTCTCAGCCTTCAGAACAATCCTGGTATTAGGCTATTGGTTTAATGTTTCATATTGAAGCAGTTTGTGGTGCATGTATCTTCTTCAGCAAAGCATATAAGCTTACAGAAAACTCCAAATGGGAAGATCCGAATGTTTCAGAAACAAGTCAGATATGAGTAGACCAGAAGAAAACTTATTCCCAAATCCGCATTAGCAGCTAATCTTGTAACTTGTTCACAGAGCGCTTAACACTGCTCATTTCTATCACACAGTTTAGATCATCACCTTACAAAAATCTGTATTTATTCTGGAGATCTGCTGTATGCCCAGTATTAGTGCAGATACTGCCCTATGACGTACTATGCCAACTTTGTTGTAAAGATTAAGTTAAATCTAATAACATTCAAGAGAACTTTCCTTTTCCTAAACACATCCTGCTACCTCACCATCCAGCTACACACTGCTCTTCAGAATGACAGCCCTTCTGTTTCTATGTAAGCACTCATCCGCTTCGTAACACAGAGTGGGGCAACAGATGCTACTTACACGTTATTTCTTAACATTTGTTTCACAAAGATACTTAAAAGAGAGTAAGATTATCTTAACAGAAAGTTGAAGAATCTTTCAGAATTTCCTGCCTCACTCAATGCTTTCTGGTTAACAGATGAGCATCATCATGAAGAAATTTTTGGCTGCTAAAAGACAATCGAAAAATTATTTTTCAGATTCTTTGGAAAAGCATCTCGGAAGGCAACCTCAAAAAACTCTCTTAGAGGCTAATCTATTTGTAGGTGGCTGAATGCTGCACGAGTGTATTCATCACCATTCTTAGTCTCAACTAGAACTGATTCATGCGTCAAGTAAAGCTTGCTGCTCCATTGTGAAAGGTAAAGAGGGGTATGATTCCATATTAAAACAAGCTATAGAATTTTGTCTATTAAAAAACAATTATCTATTTGAAAAATATTCAAAAATAAAAAAATATTTCCTCTATTCAAAGGAGGAAAAAAATAAAATCTGAGCTGTAGCGCACACCTGCCTTCTGTCACACTGTTGCAGATGAGCAGCAAATACTTCTGTTACCTCATCTTCCTTCCAACTATATCAGAATTCTTACAGAATTATACTGTTTCAAAATTGAAATAGCACCAAACCCTTGGTCTGTGTCTTAATCAGTACTGCAGTTGAAAAGTTTCAGCCAAACAACACTCAGTCACATACCAAGACAGTATTATCCATTCCCAAGACAGAAAAAGGAACCTTACTTTTACTGACCTGCAAAAATCAACATGAACCAATAGCTGCTACACAGCTCCCATGCAGATCAGGAGAAAGCGTCTGCTAGTACTTGCACTGGAAAGGTGACTCCATGTATTATTTCCTTCCTATACATCTACATGAACATTTTCTTGTAGTGGTAAAAATTTATTCCCTTCAGGCCAAGCTTCATCTTGAAGATAAACGACCTTGCCCAGGAAGTGCACTGAAAACCCTACATAGTCATTTCTGCACATACAGCCAAGAAACCACTAATCACCGCAATGCACCTACAAGTAGCCGACAACTCAGAACCTTTAATATTGTCCAAGAACTCCAGTCCAAATTTGGGAACTACTCCTTTAGAGAAACTTTAACGTAACCACCCTGAGCTCAGCAGTGTCACAGGAAGTTTAATCCATGGGACCTAAAGCATTCCCCCAAATAATTAGTGGGAGTATATTTAAAATAACAGACTAGAAAGCTAATATATGTCACTCTACATATACAGCAAGTTATCAGTGCTGTCAGAATTAAAAGGTGTACAGTGAGAAGTAAAAAGTTTTGCAGAGTTAAGCCCCACCTGCACAGCAAACTGAAATGAAACTGGAAGCTAATTTGTTCCTGCTCTTCCCAACAAAACATGCAATATGCATGCCTAACTGTTTCCATATCTCTGTGTACAGATGATAACGTTTTAAATTGGCTGTCTTTCCTAGCACTATTCACCCTCATCATCTCTCATGTCTTAGACTACATTCAAAAAGAGCTTTCACAGGAACAACCTAAAATATAAAGCTTCTCTTTTTTTGATGTAGTTCTGTGATTTCTTTTTCTAAGCTTAGTCTCACTCACAAATTTCAGCTGTATCTTCTCTGCTAAAACTATTGACTTGTCCAGCCAGAGACATTACAAATGTTAATGACAGATGAAGACTCTTGCCTGAAAATCATGGTCTGCTAGCAAGACCAGTTGCTAGCAGCTAAAACAAAGATGACAACATTCTCAAATGAGAATTTGTCTCATAACGCCCAAGTACAGGGATCTTCACTACAGAGACTGTCAGCCACTAAGGTTCCATAACTCCATGGAACCAAAACAGCAGATTAATATATAAGAAAGTTCAAGGTTGAGTATTCCAATACATTACTGATAGCTAGAGAGAAAAAAGGTATCTAAGTTTTAGCCTTAAGGCTAGTGTGTTGAATATTGCCAACCAGCAGCAAGGAACAGGGTATTAATTTCATAGTAAAGGAATCTCTAACGAAACTGCACACATACTTATTTTGATGCTAATCAGCACCTCTAAATTGCCTGGAACTCTCTAATAAAAGCTGAATCTGCAGAAACTAGGGGGCAAAACCAGAGAGCTGTTAATACAGTATATTACCACACAGTTGCTCAGTTCATCCTTTAGAGTGACATATAAAACTTTCTAGGATTAGGCTCAATTTGAAGTAATTTTCAAAATGAAATATCCTTCTTAAAAAGTGTTTGGGTTGATTGGCTGTTCTGTTAAGTTCTAAAGAATTGATATGGTTTATGAGTTTTATCCTAACAATGAAGTATAGAAAGTGTATCATGGTATTTCCTGGAACAGTACAATAACATGTAAGACTGCCACTACAGTCCACTTCTTACACTGTCCTCTCAGTTGCGATCAGCAACCAAACTCAGAAGCACCAATAGTTTCCTGTTGGATGGAAGCTCATTTGTAACAAAAGTGAAAACTTCAGTGTAAACTGGACACAGTCAAGTCACACCTAGTTAGTACTAAGCCAGTTACAGAACTAAAAAATATGTTACTAAGTATTGCAGTAGTATCTGAATACTACTGTGTGTTATATTAGGGCTAGTTTAAAAACAAACAAAAATATTCTTCAGTTTCATTATCAAAATAAGTCAATAACAAAGTCCTGCAACCTCCTGTTCATCTGTTTTGTTATGGCAAATCTGCACACTATAAAATAGAGCCAAAAAAAAAAAAGATTCTGAAGTAGAAACTTGCCTAATCAGGACCTCATTAGTGTTTTTCAGTTCTAACACCATGACAGACACAGATCCTTCTGAAGGAATGATTAGAGGAGGAACAGTTATGTTCTCTGGATACTGGTCCTTGGATTCTTCAAACTGTTTTTCAGCTGCAGCCTTCACATCATCAGGCTTCTGGACTTTCTCAGCGACATTCAGACTTTCATCAACGCGTCTTTGCGGTTTAGCATAGAGGATGGCCTTCCTTGGGACTTCAGATACATAGTCCACTACACATACACCTGAGAGCAACTCCAGATTATTTAGAATATCTTCTGGAAATTTTACTTGGTAAGTGTCTTGGTACAATTTGGGAAGTGCATTTGCCCAAAGACCACTGGAATACTTAAGCAAGATGTTAACAACTTTCTGCTTGAAGTCACTACTAAGTGGTGCAGGTGTCGTCCCCGTAGTTGGTTTTAACAAAGAGTCTGCTTTTGAAGAAGTAACGTTCTGAGATGCCTTTTCTTGCTCTGAATCACTTTTTGCCACTGGTGGTATTTTCCCAGCAGGATAAAGCAGCCCATCCATCTGATCACCCCTATGAACTTTTTCCACCTTGGAAAACAAAAAGCAGAGTAAATGATCAGTTGTATCTCAAAGTCTAAATAATTATGTCAAATAAATTTTTGTAATATGCATTTTATACAGACTTTCAAGTGGACATCCACAGGGAACTAAGCCCGAGGCAGTTACTACAGGGTTTCTTGCAATGTTTCCTCCTCCATTTTGAAATATGTATGACTACACCAGTACATGGCAAATATTTAATATACGCACTTCATACAGACTTCCTTCCAAAGAAGTATAGTTTCTCTTTTCTTCTAGAAGGACCAGGATATGATGACACACTCCAAAACACTGGTCTTTTGCACATTAACCCCACTGAACTTCCACGCGGGTAAGCATATCAAAAGTTTCTCAGTTTACTGAGGGAAAGGGGATTGTTTGTATACTTTAGAAGCAAGAGGACACGTGTCAGGCAGTGTTGAAAAGGCTATCTGCTGCCGTGTAGATAAAAAAAAGTTCTAAAATTAACAAAACAATTTAGTTAGGCCATTTTGAACTACATCTACAGCCTTCTTCCAGACTTAGATGTTTTTCCCGTCCGTATGTCCCCTGGAAACTATGCTAGGACATGGAAAATAAGGAGATGACTGGCAACGGCCAACATGGCTTCACTAAGGGCAAACTGTGCCTCACAAATTTGGTGGCTTTCTATGATAGGGTTACAGTATCAGTGGATAAGGGAAGAGCCACTGAGGTCACCTACGTGGACTTGTGCGAAGGATCGGACATGTCTCACGAGACATGATTGTCTCTATATCGGAGAGACAGGGATTTGACAGACAGGCCACTTGATGGATAAGAAACTGTTGTAGTCAACAGCTTGATGTTCAATGGGAGACCAGTGAAAAGTGGTGTTTCTCAGAGGTCGGTATTGGGACCAGTGTTGTTTAATATCTTTGTTGATGACAGACAGTGGGATCCAGTGCATCCTCAGCAAGTCTGCCAATGACCCCAAGCTCTGTGGAGTGGAGGGACCTGGACAAGCTGGAGAGGTGGGCCTGCGCAAACCTCATAAAGTTCAAAAATGCTTGGAACTAGATGATCTTTAAGGTCCCTTCTAACCAAAACATCCAGTGATACATCTCCACTCTTTGCTAAGTTCAGTTACAAGGATCTCACATATTCTGAAGTCACAACCTTGAAAGCGCAATTTCAGAACTGTAGAAACAAGCTCACAGAAAAATTTCACTTACTAAAGCTAAGCAGTTTCATCCTAGATCAATCTAACCATAGCTTAGCAGGAATATCTATGTCAAATTCACATAACAAAAAACTCTCAGTCTCAAAGCAAGAAGAACTCCTGCTCCATTCCTGGAAGTGTTCAAGGCCAGGCTGGATGGAGCATTGAGCAACCTGATCTAGTGGCAGATGTCCCTGCCATGGCAGAGGGGTTTGAACTAGAAGATCCTTCAGGTTCCTTCCAACTCGAATCATTTGACAGGAAAGTTATTAAGGTTTATATAATCTCCACCTTGGTGTTCCTTCCTCAGAGCAAACAATCCTCATCAGTCTCCTGGGTGCACATCACACCAAAGATCAATGAACTTTTTTCAGAGGCAGATTAATGAACAAACATTGAACACTTCAGTTACTTGCTAATACTCAGAGGTGACATTTGCCTTTACGATATTGATGCCCATACCCATCAGAACTTTATAAACCTTGCTGAAGTCATTCTTTTCTGCTCTGTTTTAGCAACATACAACAGAAGCATAATGAATAAGATTTTAAGTAATATACTACAAAACAAGAATAAATACCATTCATTACCAAGATAATATTAACAGGATAAGAATATTTAGTCACAATATACTGAAAAAGAAGAAGAAAACTCAGCCATTACTGTGCCAAGAACCACATATTTTCTCCTATGCGCACCTCTTCACATTCAGTCCAAGTTGCCACCTGATGATCTGAGTTAAGAGTGTCATCAAAAACACTTAAGGGTTACTACACAAGTGCGTTTCCATGTACCTGCTGTGCATTAGATTGTCTAGACTGGTGCAAAAGCAGGCTAACAAACTGTTCTTGGGTACAAGGCTTGCCAACTTTCATGAACACTAGCATGCATGTTTATCTAAAATGGAAAGAAAGGAAATAGTTTTCATAGATGTAAAAAATATTAACCTTATACGAAAAATGTTGTGCACTCATGGTGGCATGTCTGAATCCTTCTTTTTCAGTAGAAACCAAAGTAGTAATATTTTCTGCAACAAGAAGACATGAAAAGGCAAACAAACCTATCCAGCAACCCTCTGCTCCCTGAATTCATGTGAATGATTCTGAAGTTTTAAGGCTCGAGTCTTTCCAAGTAGGCTCACTAAACCAAGGAAACACTCCCTTTTATTTAAGAAGAGGAGACAGGTAGTGTCCTGTAGATATCTGCTTACTAAAGAACACGTATCTACTACAGCATAAAATATAACCAAATCATATACAGTGGTGCATTCACAAAGTTATTAAGCATCTCTGTTAATCCGCTTAATATAAAAGATGACAAAACAATGCCTGGCCATGCAACCTAGAAGGACCAAAGATGATTTCCATCATTAATGACAGAAGAACCTACACCTGTGCCCTCTGGTATCAGGAAAGTTACTGTGTCTCTTGAAATACAGGTGAAAAAATGAGCTTGGTTAACAAAATAGACAAAAACTTACCAAAGCCTTGCAAGGGCTTTGAAATACAGTCAAGAGAATAAAATGTATCAATTGGCCCAGAGAAAAAAATCAGGGCACACTACCTTGGCAGGTGATGACATCCTAGATACAGATGAATTGGAAAAGGTGTCCCAAATGTCTGTGCACTGGATTGAGGAATTTGTTTAAATGACCAGCCAAGGAAACTTTTAACTCCAGAAAATACTTGGCATATCAGGACAGCAATCTGATTGAGAAGGCTGTGTTGCAATGTATGGCAGTTCATCCTGAAAGAAGCTGGTTGCAGAGGTCTAACTTTATGCACCCTTCATCTTAGCTCTTTTTAACTAGCACTGCAACACAGAATAAATTTTAGCTGATGGCACTGTTAAACCTTACACACTAAAGACTGGCAGCAGACTAAAGAGAGAAGATCCTTAGAGACCTTTAAGCCTCTTAACTCCAATAATAGCTCTAAGGTTTTCTAGGCATTGAAGCTCTGTTTTGAAAAGACTGTAGATGCTGACTGAGCAAACCATTTAGAGACAGAAAAAAAATTCTATTTCAGTAAGTTGTTTCAGTTACTTCAGTATAAGAAGCTCACATGGACATCATTAGGCTACTATTTCTTGCATACAAGTTAATGTTCAAGGTGCAGCAGAGTTCTCCAGACAGTGCTATGGTCAAGCACCTTCAAGAATGTACAACACTACAGAAAACTTTTAATTATAAGCAAACAGTTTCACTTGTGAGCTGCGTTTCAGAACAGACACCTGTTGTTGACATGCAACTTAGGTAAATGCTTTGGTGTGATGACAGTTCTCACCAACTTGACTTTCCTCAGCAGTACATGAAGTTCAACTCCCAGCAAGCTGGTGCTTAAAGAAGTGAGGAAGGTATTCCTGGCCTTGACCAGCAGTACTTCGCAGCTGTACAAATGGCTGACAGCATCTTTTCTCTGCCAGAGGCAACCCCTACAACTTCAGGTTCCCGTTTTTGCCAGTAATTCTACCGTAGGCTCTCCAAAGGCAATGGTGAGATGCTGCTTCAACATTAATGTTCCACTCCCCCTTGTTCTTCTAAGTAGTTGCCTCTGAACGTGACAAAATTTAAGCTACCAAGCTATTCAGTATGCATGCAAACTCTGGGGGGAAAAAACCAAACAACAAAACCGACTTGTGCAATGTTCCTGAAAGGCCGAAGATCTCCACTGCACATGGCGACATCAGAAACACTAAAGAGCTTTTCCTTACAAGGCTGTAGAAGCCCCTTACGTCATCCCGTTATAGCTTATCCTTGTGATCCACTCCAGCTTTTATAGTGTCTAGTCCAATATGCAATAAATTGTGTTTCACGTGAAGCTATGATACCTAACTTCTTACTCTCCATGTCAAAAGGACATATTAAAGCGCCTGTCTTCAGTCAAACCGCATGCCAAGTGGGAATTTGGAATAGGACAGGAATAGGACTGGAATGGGTTGCCCAGAAAGGCTATAGAGTATCTCTTATTAAAACAGGACCAGATACAGTCCTGGGCAAACTGCTCACGGTGACCCTGCTTGAGCAGGAGGGTTGCATTACATAATTTTAAGACATCCCTTCCAATCTCACCGATTCTGTGATATGCTCATGCAAAGTTAGAAGAACTGGTTCAGTTCTTCTGAATTTCAAATCAACTTCAGTTGTCAGGATGTATAAACTAATTTAAAAAAATCGCAGGCCTCTTAAAATGCTAGAGAAGGCAAAATAATTTTGAAAGGTTTTTGATTTAATAGCCTTTTCAGTCACTAACCCTAACAAGTATGGCAGCTTCATTAAGGGGACTCAAAAACCACACCATTGAGCTGAGTGGTGTAGCTGACATATCTGAGGGACATCCAGAGGAATCTGGACAAGCTGGAGAAGTGGGCCCATGTGAACCTCATGAGGTTCAATGACATCAAATGCAAGGTCCCACATCTGGGTTGGGGTAATCCCTGCTATCAGTACAGGCTGGGGTGGGTGAAGAGACTGTGAGCAGCCCTGCAGAGAAGGACTTAGGGGTGCTGGTGGATGAAAAGCTGGATATTAGCCACCAACACACACTTCCAGCTCAGAAGGCCAGTAGCATCCTGAGCTGCATCAAGTGAAGCATGGCCAGCAGACTGAGAGGTGATTCTGCCCCTCTGCTCTGGTGAGACCTCACCTGCAGTTCTGCATCCAACACCACAGGAAAGACACAAATCTCTTGGAGTGGGTCCAAATGAGGGTCACAGAGATGATCAGAGGGATGGAACACTTCTACAAAGAAAGGTTCACAGTGTTTCGTTTGTTCAGCTTGGAGGAGCAAAGGCTCTGGGACACCTTATT